GTTCTGGCTTCATGATGTTTAAATCAAGGCAGTATATTCACAAGCATACACATACACAGAGATGTATATCTTTATATACATATTAGTTTATATACAACGAGAGGTACTGTACATATTTTCAAAGCTCATGAATGTGACCTGACCTGACTAGGTTGGGGCATTGGCATAAGCCGGTAGGAGACTTGGACCTGCCTCGCATGGCCCAGTAGGCCTGCTGCAGTGTTCCTTCTTTCTTGTTCTTATATCCTCAGAGTTGACCTTCAACCCTCTGTAGGGGCTTAAAGTATTCTTAATTGGCGGTGACTAATTGAAATTGAGTCTTTACGCCTCAGGCTGGTGTCAACAGTAGTAATAGTAGTAGTACTACTAGAAGTAGTACTTGTAGTAGTAGTACTATTAGTAGTGGTGGTGAGTACGCTCACCCAATTGTAGCTGCAGTGGTCGACTCGTAGCTGTGTGTAAGAGAGAGAGAGAGAGAGAGAGAGAGAGAGAGAAAGAGAACTGACCCATCACTGATCTGGTACCAGACTGAGGTACCAGTACGTGACAATGAAAATATATAGAAGTTTAGACATATCTTATTCACCAACAGGACGTAAAGACATCAGCCATCGTGGACTGGATCGCGGGGGCGATGATCCCCGGAATACCTTCCAGGTAGACTCCAGGTAAGTAGGTATCACGCACAAGGAAACATACTGGACCTCAACCGGCATTTATGCGTGACGGCGGTCATCCCTCCATAGTCAAAAGGATGAAGTCACCTGCCTTAGCCCTGCAAGGGTGTCATATAAAGCCAGTGTTAACTCTCTGCTCGTGACGAATGACGGAAGGTGACCTGGTCAGTCTCAGACCAGGCGCTATAAGTGAATGACTCACCAGGTTACCCAGTTGAAAAATGCAAATTTGTCTAATTGAAAATCGTAGTTGTCATATTTATATCGTCTTTGTTTATTCTTGTCAGACTCGGGTACCGTACGGTCCAGGGACCTTCACCCTGCACAACAATATACATACACTGTGTACCTGGAGTTTACCTGGAGAGAGTTTCGGGGGTCAACGCCCCCGCGGCCCGGTCTGTGACCAGGCCTCCTGGTGGATCAGCGCCTGATCAACCAGGCTGTTGCTGCTGGCTGCACGCAAACCAACGTACGAGCCACAGCCCGGCTGATCAGGAACTGACTTTAGGTGCTTGTCCAGTGCCAGCTTGAAGACTGCCAGGGGTCTGTTGGTAATCCCCCTTATGTGTGCTGGGAGGCAGTTGAACAGTCTCGGGCCCCTGACACTTATTGTATGGTCTCTTAACGTGCTAGTGACACCCCTGCTTTTCATTGGGGGGATGGTGCATCGTCTGCCAAGTCTTTTGCTTTCGTAGTGAGTGATTTTCGTGTGCAAGTTCGGTACTAGTCCCTCTAGGATTTTCCAGGTGTATATAATCATGTATCTCTCCCTCCTGCGTTCCAGGGAATACAGGTTTAGAAACCTCAAGCACTCCCAGTAATTGAGGTGTTTTATCTCCGTTATGCGCGCCGTGAAAGTTCTCTGTACATTTTCTAGGTCGGCAATTTCACCTGCCTTCAAAGGTGCTGTTAGAGTGCAGCAATATTTCAGCCTAGATAGAACAAGTGACCTGAAGAGTGTCATCATGGGCTTGGCCTCCCTAGTTTTGAAGGTTCTCATTATCCATCCTGTCATTTTTCTATCAGATGCGATTGATACAATGTTATGGTCCTTGAAGGTGAGATCCTCCGACATAATCACTCCCAGGTCTTTGACGTTGGTGTTTCGCTCTATTTTGTGGCCAGAATTTGTTTTGTACTCTGATGAAGATTTAATTTCCTCATGTTTACCATATCTGAGTAATTGAAATTTCTCATCGTTGAACTTCATATTGTTTTCTGCAGCCCACTGAAAGATTTGGTTGATGTCCGCCTGGAGCCTTGCAGTGTCTGCAATGGAAGACACTGTCATGCAGATTCGGGTGTCATCTGCAAAGGAGGACACGGTGCTGTGGCTGACATCCTTGTCTATGTCGGATATGAGGATGAGGAACAAGATGGGAGCTAGTACTGTGCCTTGTGGAACAGAGCTTTTCACCGTAGCTGCCTCGGACTTTACTCTGTTGACGACTACTCTCTGTGTTCTGTTAGTGAGGAAATTATAGATCCATCGACCGACTTTTCCTGTTATTCCTTTAGCGCGCATTTTGTGCGCTATTACGCCATGGTCACACTTGTCGAAGGCTTTTGCAAAGTCTGTATATATTACATCTGCATTCTTTTTGTCTTCTAGTGCATTTAGGACCTTGTCGTAGTGATCCAGTAGTTGAGACAGACAGGAGCGACCTGTTCTAAACCCATGTTGCCCTGGGTTGTGTAACTGATGGGTTTCTAGATGGGTGGTGATCTTGCTTCTTAGGACCCTTTCAAAGATTTTTATGATATGGGATGTTAGTGCTATTGGTCTGTAGTTCTTTGCTGTTGCTTTACTGCCCCCTTTGTGGAGTGGGGCTATGTCTGTTGTTTTTAGTAACTGAGGGACGACCCCCGTGTCCATGCTCCCTCTCCATAGGATGGAAAAGGCTCGTGATAGGGGCTTCTTGCAGTTCTTGATGAAACACAGAGTTCCATGAGTCTGGCCCTGGGGCAGAGTGCATGGGCATGTCATTTATCGCCTGTTCGAAGTCATTTGGCGTCAGGATAACATCGGATAGGCTTGTGTTAATCAAATTTTGTGGCTCTCTCATAAAAAATTCATTTTGATCTTCGACTCTCAGTCTGGTTAGCGGCTTGCTAAAAACTGAGTCATATTGGGACTTGAGTAGCTCACTCATTTCCTTGCTGTCATCTGTGTAGGACCCATCTTGTTTAAGTAGGGGCCCAATACTGGGCGTTGTTCTCGATTTTGATTTGGCATAGGAGAAGAAATACTTTGGGTTTCTTTCGATTTCATTTATAGCTTTTAGTTCTTCCCGCGATTCCTGACTCCTAAAGGATTCTTTTAGCTTAAGTTCGATGCTTGCTATTTCTCTGACCAGTGTCTCCCTGCGCATTTCAGATATATTGACCTCTTTTAGCGCTCTGTTATTCTTTTCCGTCGCCTGTAAAGGGAGCGCCTGTCTCTTTCTATTTTACATCTACTCCTCCTTTTTCTTAGAGGAATAAGCCTTGTGCATACATCGAGTGCCACCGAGTTAATCTGTTCTAGGCATAAGTTTGGGTCTGGGGTTGCTTAGTTATCTTCCCAGCTTATATCGGTTAGGACTTGGTTTACTTGGTCCCACTTTATGTTTTTGTTATTGAAGTTGAATTTGGTGAATGCTCCCTCGTGACTAGTCTCATTTTGTCGGTCTGGGGCTCCTCGCATACATGTCTGAACCTCAATTATGTTGTGATCTGAGTATATTGTTTTTTGATATGGTGACATTTCTTATCAGATCATCATTGTTAGTGAATATGAGTCTAGTGTATTCTCCAGTCTAGTAGGCTCTATTATTTGCTGGTTTAAATTGAATTTTGTGCAGAGATTTAAAAGCTCGTGTGAGTGTGAGTTTTCATCAGAGCTGCCTCCTGGTGTTATTACTGCAACAATATTATTTGCTATATTCCTCCATTTTAGGTGCCTTAAGTTGAAATCCCCCAGGAGCAAGATGTTGGGTGCGGGAGCTGGAAGATTTTCCAGACAGGGGGTCAATTTTTAACAGCTGTTCCTGGAATTGCTGGGATGTTGCATCCGGAGGCTTGTAGACTACCACAATGACTAGGTTTTGGTTCTCGACCTTTACTGCTAAAAACTTCCACTACGTCATTTGGGGCATTAAGCAGTTCTGTGCAAACAAGTGACTCTGCAATGTACAGGCCAAAACCCCCCCCTTTTGCCTGTTCACTCTGTCACATCTGTATAGGTTGTAACCTGGGATCCATATTTCATTGTCCAAGTGATCCTTTATGTGGGTCTCAGTGAAAGCCGCGAACATTGCCTTTGCCTCTGCAAGCAGTCCACGGATGAAAGGTATTTGTTGTTTGTTGCTGGCTTTAGACCCTGTATATTTGCAAAGAAGAATGTTATCGGACTGGTGGTATTGTTGGTACTGGGGGGGGATTTTTTTTCCGGCATTAGTATCTGTATCTGTTGGTTTGGAGTGGAGGCCATCGACTGTGGTTCCACTCCAGGAATGACTGGATTTGGTGTACGATTTCTGCCATTTCCTGCCAGTTTTTTTCCTTCCTGGCACTAAAAAAACCTCTCCCTCTTGAGTGGCTGTGGCTACCCAGGTTTTCCCATGGCCTGGATGTTTTGTATCTTTTTGTCCCCTTTAGATGGTATGCCTGGCAATTTAAGTTATAGCACAGTCTTTCCTGTACTGAAGAGGTACACATTTCAGGGTGAAAAAGCTTACAGGAAGGGAGTTTGCATTTTCCTGTTGTCATATGGGCATGGCATTTTCTAGGGTGGTCATAGTTGCACGTCCCATCTGTTTTTCCAGATTTCCCATGCCAGCAGATACCAAGTGCATAGTATGTGCACAGGCTTGGTTTCCGCTTGCCTTGGGTTTCTGTGACTGTATTCCCTGTTGGTGTACATACATAGCTTTAAGATAAGGTATGATAAAGCTCATGGAGCAGGGAGAGAGAGGACCAAGTAGCACTCAGTGAAGAGGCGGGGCCAGGAGCTGAGTATCGATTCCTGCAACCACAATTAGGTGAATACACTGTAAGGCAGTGGAATAGCTTAGAAAGTGATATAGTGGAGGCGGGAATCGTACATAGTTTTAAGACGAGGTTTGATGAAGTTCAGGGAGAGAGGACCAAGTAGCAGTGAAGAGGCGGGGCCAGGAACTATGACTCGACTCCTGCAACCACAAGTAGGTGAGAACACTGAGACATGTGCTTCTCAGTTAAAATTACACCAAGAGTTTAATATATCTGGATGTATATACACCGAGACCTGTGTAAAATTGTGTGCGAGAGAGAAAGGAGGGGGGGGGGGTAAATAAATGATTTTATCAACAAATATCAACTTTATTTCTGCTCCACTCTCATTTGAGACAATTAATACAACTTTATTACTATGTTGGTGTTGGTTCCCAGTGATAGTCCATTTATATGACAGTGCTGAAACTGGAAACAGTAGACAACGAGGTAATCAGTCCCTCAGCCTAGTAAAGTGTTCACCATCGTAGTCTTGAAGAATGTAAAGCACAAGCAAGATGGTTACTTGAGTTTTCAGGACTATGGTGACGAACACCATCTAGGCAGAGGGACTGATCACCCTTTGTTCAACTTAAGTCGAAAACCAAGTGTAGTTGTGCTGGTTCGTTCCCTGCTCACATGTTTTTGCTTGGATAATGAAATTCCATGACTGCCTCCGCCTGTTTAGCTTTCCTGTTTCTGGTCCCTGAGAGGATCCGAGATCTTGTTTCTGGTTCATGAAAGGATCAAGGATCTTCCTGTTTCTTGTCCCTGTGAGTTCAGGAGTCTGTTATGTTGAAAGAGTTTGTTAAATAGTGGGAATATTCAGAAAGGAATAGGGAAGGCCAAGAATGAGGATAAGGAAACAGGAAAGGAAGATCAGTGTTGGAATCAGTGGGCATGACTCAGATCATTGGCTATGAGGTGGAGGTGGTGGAGCATAGCTGGGTGGAGGGAGGGACATGGGCCTTTTCTTGGGTTTACGTGGAGACTCACTATTGCTCTTGGTGGAGACTACCTCACGAATGGTGACTTGAGAGGAGATCTCGGAACTTATAGTGGAAATTATGAAGTCTCCATCAATATTAGGTGGGATGGAAATTCCCTCATTGGAATTGGAATTTGAAGTTGTAGTGAAGGAGACAGAAGCATTTGCTGCTTCGATGTTAGAAGACCTATGATCTGGATCTGTTGACGTGGTAGAGGAAGAATTAGAGTCTGTATGTGTTGTTCTAGTGGAGGCGAAGGAACCAGGAACGTGTTCTGTGTCGTTGAAGGAAGAATTAGTATCTTTATCTATTAATGTTGTTGATGCACTAGAACCTAAATCTGATGTATATGTAATCGAGGAACTAGGAACTTGTTCCCTTGTGGTGGTAGTGGTGCAAGAACTGGGACCTGGGTCTGTTACTGCGGTGGTTAAGGCACTGAGAACTTCTGTTGTGATAGTAATGGGAGAACTGGGACCTGGGTCTGTTATTGCGGTGGTTAAGGCACTAGGAACTTCTGTTCTGGTTGTAGTGGAAGAACTGGGACCTGGGTCTGTTACTGCGGTGGTTAAGGCACTGGGAACTTCTGTTGTGGTGGTAGTGGAAGAAGTGGGACCTTGGTCTGTTACTGCGGTGGTTAAGGCACTGGGAATTTGACCTATTGTGTTAGTAGAGGAACTAATATTTGAATCTGACGATGCGGAAGTGGTAGAGTAACTAGGGTCTGGATATGTTGTACTGGGAGAGCAGGAAGTAGTTAAGCCGGTGATTGTGGTGGGGGCTGGACCCGAAGAACTCTCTGTAGACGACACGTCTGACACATCTAGAGATGACAGACGACCAGCTGGTATGTCAGCATCGCCAGATACAGTTATCTCTGCCGAGTCTATAAAAGAGCTGAACTCTTTTGAACTGGAAATTTCACTTGTCCCGGTATGGTAAACAGCAGCCCCTTGCTCTGACAATCCGTCAGTCTCTGTGAGAGTGCTGTCAAAGGCTGACTCAATACTAGCTCCTTGCTCTGACAATCCGTCAGTCTCGGAAAAAGTGCTATCCAAGGCTGACTCCCCCAAAGTCTGAAGAGTACTTATCTGGGAAAGACTTGTGACCTTATCTTCTGTCAAATCATCAGATGAAATGTGTAAGGCTGGAATTTTATCCTCATCGGAACTATCGCCCTCTTGGCTCGTTGCACTAGTGAAGATGTTTTCTGTGTCAGCGCTTAAAACTGGAGGAACCTTCTGAATGGGTAAGTGAGGAGGGGCATCAGTCGGTAGCCTCTCACTGGATGAGATAGTATTAGTGATTATGGTAGTGGTGGAGGAAGGTAGTGTGGAGAAAAATGTGGGTTCTCTGGAAGAGTCGATGGTAGTGGTGGGGGTGGGAGGATGTGTAGGGGTAGTGATGATATTTCCTGGGGTGGTTATGGTGGTATCTGTGAGTGTAGTGATGGTGATACCTGTCTGGAGGATGGTGGTATCTGTGAGGGTGATGGTATCATCTATGAGTGTGGTGATAGTGGGAGCTGCAGTGGTGACGATGGTAGAGAGCACAGATGAACCTCCACCATCAGATGAAGCATCACTAATGAAGGCAGAAAAGTTGGAAGCTGATGAAATATCAGCAGTAGAGATATGGGTATCAACTGAGTCCAGAGATCTTGGTGACATGGTATCCAGCACCGCCTCAACTTCCAGTTCACTGACAGGAGGTGGAGGTGCCGGGGCTGGTCTCTTGTGGGAGTCCTCACTCTGTAAGAGGAAGCTCACTTTAATAGTGTGAAAGAGGGACAGAGAGATACTGTGCTTTATATTAGCACAAGTGAAATCAATTGAAATAGGGCTCAAAGGTCAACCCTAACATAAGGCGAGGATGAGTCACCCAAACAAGTTCAGAGATTTTTTTTAAGAGTAATAATGACTTAGGGTGTGGAGGGTCAGTCATTCTTAGACACTAAGTCAATTTACACTGAAGAAATATAATAAACTTGTGAAGGCAGCTCACCACTGCTTGGAATTCCTGATGGTCGAGATGCTGCTGCTGCTGCTGCTGCTGTTCCCCACTGCTGTCTGTCCTGGAGTAGCGGGTGTAAGCCTCTGGACTGAAGCCAACATGATAGAGGTGCTGGAAGTTGGTGGGGTGGCCGATCATGTCTTTCCTGAGGGGCGGGAGTTAAAAAGTCGAGGGATGAGTAAGAAGGTAACACTCATCACCATCATCTATCATCAACAACAGTAGTAAAACAGAGGAATATTAATAAAACTAATTGAAATAGCAACGAACCATTATTTTCAAACAAGATTATCTAGACGCAGTAAGAAGACTGAAGAACAAAGAGGGAAAAAATGACATCAAATACACTGAATATTAACATCACAGAGACTCTAGTATGCTATCATTACGTGATTCATCAAAAATGTATACTAGGATGTATGTAATACAACGAGAAGAACCGTCTTCGTAATGTTCTGGCGTAACACCAGGAATCATATCTGAAGATCAGGTCGACCTGACTACTCAAGCTTGAAGGAGAAGACTTGTCGACCTGTACAAAGCAAATCTTCCAAACATTACTGGTTTACAATACTTGAAAGTTATTGAATAAGACAAGTGCAACATCTAGGCATTTTTATTTTGGAGATTTTTTTTGCTAGTCAGTGTCTTTTTTAATTCAATAGATAAATTATTAAACGGGGACAGCCTCATCTACTGCCTTCAGTCAATAAGATCAGCATTAAACTGAAACTGGTTGGTAAAACGTGTAAAACGTCTTCAACATTAAGATACTCAGGTGTTGCACATGTTTCTTTCATCAAAGCAGGTCTTATACCCTGTGTTTATTTTCTGAATCTAAGTTGTTTACGTTATATCTCGAGTTGAAATATGGAAGAACCACATACATATATATCCCTTCATTACAGCTCTTCATCTACTCACGTACGTCAATCTTGTCATCCCTCATGTTATCTCTCATGTCATCTCTATGCCTTGCCACAGACGGTAAAGTTATCTTAAATATTTACTTTTCAAATTGAACGTTCCTAATTCTCGGGATTATAAATCGAGTTTGTTGTGTAGCACAGTTTACCTGGAGTTTACCTGGAGAGAGTTCCGGGGGTCAACGCCCCCGCGGCCCGGTCTGTGACCAGGCCTCCTGGTGGATCAGCGCCTGATCAACCAGGCTGTTGCTGCTGGCTGCACGCAAACCAACGTACGAGCCACAGCCCGGCTGATCAGGAACTGACTTTAGGTGCTTGTCCAGTGCCAGCTTGAAGACTGCCAGGGGTCTGTTGGTAATCCCCCTTATGTGTGCTGGGAGGCAGTTGAACAGTCTCGGGCCCCTTACACTTATTGTATGGTCTCTTAACGTGCTAGTGACACCCATGCTTTTCATTGGGGGGATGGTGCATCGTCTGCCAAGTCTTTTGCTTTCGTAGTGAGTGATTTTCGTGTGCAAGTTCGGTACTAGTCCCTCTAGGATTTTCCAGGTGTATATAATCATGTATCTCTCCCTCCTGCGTTCCAGGGAATACAGGTTTAGGAACCTCAAGCGCTCCCAGTAATTGAGGTGTTTTATCTCCGTTATGCGCGCCGTGAAAGTTCTCTGTACATTTTCTAGGTCGGCAATTTCACCTGCCTTGAAAGGTGCTGTTAGAGTGCAGCAATATTCCAGCCTAGATAGAACAAGTGACCTGAAGAGTGTCATCATGGGCTTGGCCTCCCTAGTTTTGAAGGTTCTCATTATCCATCCTGTCATTTTTCTAGCAGATGCGATTGATACAATGTTATGGTCCTTGAAGGTGAGATCCTCCGACATAATCACTCCCAGGTCTTTGACGTTGGTGTTTCGCTCTATTTTGTGGCCAGAATTTGTTTTGTACTCTGATGAAGATTTAATTTCCTCATGTTTACCATATCTGAGTAATTAAAATTTCTCATCGTTGAACTTCATATTGTTTTCTGCAGCCCACTGAAAGATTTGGTTGATGTCCGCCTGGAGCCTTGCAGTGTCTGCAATGGAAGACACTGTCATGCAGATTCGGGTGTCATCTGCAAAGGAAGACACGGTGCTGTGGCTGACATCCTTGTCTATGTCGGATATGAGGATGAGGAACAAGATGTGAGCGAGTACTGTGCCTTGTGGAACAGAGCTTTTCACCGTAGCTGCCTCGGACTTTACTCTGTTGACGACTACTCTCTGTGTTCTGTTAGTGAGGAAATTATAGATCCATCGACCGACTTTTCCTGTTATTCCTTTAGCACGCATTTTGTGCGCTATTACGCCATGGTCACACTTGTCGAAGGCTTTTGCAAAGTCTGTATATATTTCATCTGCATTCTTTTTGTCTTCTAGTGCATTTAGGACCTTGTCGTAGTGATCCAATAGTTGAGACAGACAGGAGCGACCTGTTCTAAACCCATGTTGCCCTGGGTTGTGTAACTGATGGGTTTCTAGATGGGTGGTGATCTTGCTTCTTAGGACCCTTTCAAAGATTTTTATGATATGGGATGTTAGTGCTATTGGTCTGTAGTTCTTTGCTGTTGCTTTACTGCCCCCTTTGTGGAGTGGGGCTATGTCTGTTGTTTTTAGTAACTGTGGGACGACCCCCGTGCCATGCTCCCTCTCCATAAGATGGAAAAGGCTCGTGATAGGGGCTTCTTGCAGTTCTTGATGACACAGAGTTCCATGAGTCTGGCCCTGGGGCAGAGTGCATGGGCATGTCATTTATCGCCTGTTCGAAGTCATTTGGCGTCAGGATAACATCGGATAGGCTTGTGTTAATCAAATTTTGGCTCTCTCATAAAAAATTCATTTTGATCTTCGACTCTCAGTCTGGTTAGCGGCTTGCTAAAAACTGAGTCATATTGGGACTTGAGTAGCTCACTCATTTCCTTGCTGTCATCTGTGTATGACCCATCTTGTTTAAGTAGGGGCCCAATACTGGACGTTGTTCTCGATTTTGATTTGGCATAGGAGAAGAAATACTTTAGGTTTCTTTCGATTTCATTTATGGCTTTTAGTTCTTCCCGCGATTCCTGACTCCTAAAGGATTCTTTTAGCTTAAGTTCTATGCTTGCTATTTCTCTGACCAGTGTCTCCCTACGCATTTCAGATATATTGACCTCTTTTAGCCGCTCTGTTATTCTTTTCCGTCGCCTGTAAAGGGAGCGCCTGTCTCTTTCTATTTTACATCTACTCCTCCTTTTTCTTAGAGGAATAAACCTTGTGCATACATCGAGTGCCACCGAGTTAATCTGTTCTAGGCATAAGTTGGGGTCTGTGTTGCTTAGTATATCTTCCCAGCTTATATCGGTTAGGACTTGGTTTACTTGGTCCCACTTTATGTTTTTGTTATTGAAGTTGAATTTGGTGAATGCTCCCTCGTGACTAATCTCATTATGTCGGTCTGGGGCTCCGCGCATACATGTCTGAACCTCAATTATGTTGTGATCTGAGTATATTGTTTTTGATATGGTGACATTTCTTATCAGATCAGTGACTAGATATCTCCCATATAATTACTAACATTTTTATAAGGGAGCTTCTAATAGCATTTTCATACGCGGAGGCAACACCATCCTTGAAAAAAGCGTCATAATCCAGCTGAAGACCAGGATAAAATTGAAGGATAATATTTGAACGACTTTACTAATGCTTCTCTGTGTTTTGTTTTGGCTTCGGATGCAACTATAAGTCTCGGATCCTTTTCATATTAGCATTTGTAAATTTCTATTGTTTTGGTTGACAATTAGTTCCTCTGTTTTCACTGACCTGGAAACCTACACTGTTGTTAGTTTAATATGTTTATTATGCACCCCATACCCATCCTGTGGACGGTAGTCAAAAGATTACAAAGGTACATAATGGGTCCAGTGACTGGACCCCAAAGTTATGATAGCTGAACTAGTTACAAAGGTAATAAACTCCAGGTAGATCTGGTCACAGTCATGGCAAGTTACAGAGGTGATGAATCAGCTTCACTCCTATACATGGTTACAGTCATGAACAAATTACAAAGTAATGAACCACTGATACGTCCACACCTGGTCACAATTGTAATGAGTTATAAATACAAAAATTAAGTGGGTCATACACCCACACGAGCGCGCGCGCACACACGAGGGCGCACGCACAGACACATGCACACGAGCGTACAAATATATGCATACACACAAGCGCGCGCGCGCGCACACACACACACACACACACACACACACACACACACACACACACACACACACACACACACACACACACACACACACACACACAGAGGAGACAGATGTTCACAGAGGAGACAGAAGGGGCTCCAGAAAGACGGGGAGGTGGGGTACACCACCAAGTGCTGGACACAGTGCACACAACCGAGGAAGAAGTGAAGAGGCTTCTGAGTGAGCTAGATACCTCAAAGGCAATGGGGCCAGATAACATCCCCCCATGGGTCCTGAGAGAGGGAGCAGAGGCGCTATGTGTACCCCTAACAACAATATTCAATACATCTATCGAAACAGGGAGATTGCCTGAGGCATGGAAGACAGCAAATGTAGTCCCAATCTTTAAAAAAGGAGACAGACATGAAGCACTAAACTACAGACCAGTGTCACTGACATGTATAGTATGCAAAGTCATGGAGAAGATTATCAGGAGAAGAGTGGTGGAACACCTAGAAAGGAATGATCTCATCAACAGCAGCCAACATGGTGTCAGGGATGGGAAATCCTGTGTCACAAACCTACTGGAGTTCTATGACAGGGTTCAAAGTTTATTCTCTATAAGGATTACAATGCTGAGTTTACGGAAATTTGGTTATTGTTTGGTTTACATGTAGTAAAATTGCGATTACAGAGTGTACCACTAGAACGCTTAGCATGGCTAGGCATTTCGGGCATACTTAGTTTTATTCTTAATTGTAAAATATTACAAATTATGAGGTAAGTTGGTATTATGGCTAAGTGACTAAATACTAGTTTGTGAGTTTAGCAATGTGAATGCTTTTGTTTTGGCACAGTATATAGTTTCAGTATTGGAGTATCACAGGATTCATTATTTTAAGACTGAGATTAATATTTCTGTTTATGGTCAAATGAGTGAGCGAGTGTAAGTGTGAACCACCAGGTGGTATTCGTGTAGTTAGTTGACGGGGTGTATCAGGGAGATAAGATGTTTTCTAATGGTAGTTTTGAAGGTGATGAATGTGTCTGCAGTTCTAGAGTTCTCAGGTAGGGTATTCCAGATTTTAGGGCCTTTGACATACATTGAATTTTTGTAAAGGTTTAGTCGGACACGGGGAATGTCGTAGAGATGTTTGTTTCTGGTGTTATGCCTGTGGGTTCTGTCACAACTATCAAGAAAGCAGTAAGACAAGAGAGAGAGGGTTGGGTGAATTGCATTTTCTTGGACTGCAAGAAGGCGTTTGACACAGTTCCACACAATAGATTAGTGCAGAAACTGGAGGACCAAGCAGGGATAACAGGGAAGGCACTACAATGGATCAGGGAATACTTGTCAGGAAGACAGCAGCGAGTCATGGTATGTGGCGAGGTGTCAGAGTGGGCGCCTGTGACCAGCGGGGTCCCACAGGGGTCAGTCCTAGGACCAGTGCTGTTTCTGGTATTTGTGAACGACATTAGGGAAGGAATAGACTCCGAGGTGTTCCTGTTTGCAGATGACGTGAAGTTGATGAGAAGAATTCATTCGACTGAAGACCATGCAGAACTACAAAGGGATCTGGACAGGCTGCAGACCTGGTCCAGCAATTGGCTCCTGGAGTTCAACCCCACCAAGTGAAAAGTTATGAAGATTGAGGAAGGGCAAAGAAGACCGCGGACGGAGTACAGTCTAGGGGGCCAGAGACTACAAACCTCACTCAAGGAAAAAGATCTTGGGGTGAGTATAACACCAGGCACATCTCCTGAAGCGCACATCAACCAAATAACTGCTGCAACATATGGGCGCCTAGCAAACCTCAGAACAGCATTCCGACATCTTAATAAGGAATCGTTCAGGACCCTGTACACCGTGTACGTTAGGCCCATATTGGAGTATGGGGCACCAGTTTGGAACCCACACCTAGCCAAGCACGTAAATAAACTAGAGAAAGTACAAAGGTTTGCAACAAGACTAGTCCCAGAGCTAAGGGGTATGTCCTACGAGGAGAGGTTAAGGGAAATCGACCTGACGACACTGGAGGACAGGAGAGATAAGGGGGACATGATAACGACATACAAAATACCGAGAGGAATTGACAAGGTGGACAAAGACAGAATGTTCCAGAGATGGGACACAGCAACAAGGGGACAGAGTTGGAAGTTGAAGACACAGATGAATCACAGAGATGTTAGGAAGTATTTCTTCAGTCACAGAGTGTTCAGGAAGTGGAATAGTTTGGGAGGCAGGATCCAACCATAGCTTTAAGCAGAGGTACGATAAAGCTCACGGTTCAGGGAGAGTGACCTAGTAGCGACCAGTGAAGAGGCGGGGCCAGGAGCTTGGACTCGACCCCTGCAACCTCAACTAGGTGAGTACACACGTGGTAATGCTTTATATACAGCTAGCAAAGTCAGGGTATTTCTCCAGAATGGTTTGCAATATACCACTCTGGGTAAAATACTTTGCCATTTCTTGAACATTTCTGAGTGAGTTGTCTCTAAATTCATTAATTTGATCACACTCCAGTACATAATGACGCAAGGTGTGACAATAGTCCATCTGGCAAAGTTTACATTTCGTTTGGTCTACATCTGGTTGTGGTGATTTAACCTGCCAAAGATACTTGTAACCCTGCCGGAGCCGGGCAGTAGTGACATCCAAGAGTCTGCTTATCTTGTTGGATGCACCATAGACATGTGGCTCCTCCTGCATGATGGAATGATGATAGATGGACTGACTTGTGTCAATCTCCCTAAGTCTTAAGTCAATAAAGTTCAATCGAAGTTCTTTTCGTATTATTGTTCTCAAACTACTACCTGACAAGCCAAGATTGTAATCTACCCCCTCTTTGAAAGCATACAGCTTAGCCAATTTATCAGTTCTGTCATGCATCTAAAGACCAATGTGAGATGGAATCCACAGCATGTGCACTCTGACTCCACTGTCCACACTCTTACCCTACCTGTCTCTGGCTTCTGACACAAGCATGCCACAATTTATACTTAATGAGTTGAGAGCATTTATGGATGAGAGAATCAGTTACAATTGAAGTGTCAACCTTAGATACATGGACGCATTTGAGTGCAAGGAGTATGGCAAACATTTCTGTTTGAAGGGTAGAGGCCAAGTTATTGATGTGGGCTCCAATTTCTTTAAGAGAGCTCTCACTCTGTATGACAACAGCAGCACTACCAGCTGCACCAGTGGACTGGTGAACAGAACCATCAACGTAAATAATTTGAGAAAGAGTGTTGTGTGTGACTTAGTTATCAATACAGCTTAAGGCATCATGTTTGGCTTCAAGACGAAGCTTTGGTTGTGATTTAAGAAGAGTTTTGGGGGGAAATGGAGGAATGGTAGTTTGGAATGGGGTAATATCCTATGGAGCAGGGAAGTGTCTGTTGCCTAACTTGACATAGATCATGTAGCTGGTTCATGCGGAGGTCGGTTCCAGTTTTTTCGATCCATCTGGGAGGATTTTCACCAGTGCTGAGGAAAGTTTAGAGGGCTTCTGTGCAGGGGTTTGAATGGGCTAACCTAAGCATATTGACCTGCCCGACATTTGTCAGTTATACGTCAGACATTTCTTAGGCCTTCCTGTAACTTCCCCATGTCTCCTCTGTATTACTCTCGCTATTTTTTTAATGGTATCTGCACATTTAGTGATTCTCTTTACTCTCAAGTCTTTTAAGTACACTGATAATCAATGACTGAACGACTGACTCCCTCAGAGATTTTGAATCTATGGTAAACGTCTGCTTGCTGTATAATTAATAATAATAATAATAATAATAATAATAATATCTTTATTTCTACAAGTACATGTACAAGGTATAAGGTCCTAGTTGACATCAATGACATACTACTGTATAGAAAGCCGCTTATGCTGAGAATTTCCCGCAAATTGGTCAGTTTTGTCCCAGGATGCGACCCACACCCAGGTACCCATCTTATACTGATGGGTGAACAGGGACAGCAGGTGTTTTATGGAAACACGTCCCTAATGTTTTCCAGCCGTACCGGAGATTCGAACTCCGGACCTCAGTGTGTGAGCTGAGTGCACTAGCGATCGAGCTACGGGACACCTTAATCATGCTAATCTGTCCAAACTTTATGCTCTTGAGACAGTCCTGACACACACACACACACACACACACACACACCTGAGACAAGCCTGTGACATAACCTATCTGTCCAATAATAAATATTAACGTTATCGATAATCAGAGACACTTACGTTAGTCTTTTCGAAGATCGCTTCCTGTTCAGTGTAGTGTTGTCTGCAGGCTGTGAGGCTGGGAAAGGGAAACGCAGTTGTGGGCCCTCTTGTGTAGGTGACTGTAGCTGTAGTGGAGATTGTGGCAGGGATTGTGGAGGTGACTGTAATGATTGTGGTGGAGATAATGGCAGGGGTTGTAGCGATGACTGTGTCAACTGTTCCTCAGACGGAGCATCTACAAGAGAAGTGGTGGGGCTGCTGAGAGGTGAAGGGTCGGATGGTGACTTGATGGAAGAATTGACGGCAGTGGTGATGCTGGGTTCAGGAATTAGTAGCACCTCGCTGGAGGCATCTGTGATGGTCGTAGCAACGTGAGTGGCAATGGTAGTTTCTACAGAGGTGGCAATGGTAGCATCTGTAAGGGTAGCAACGGTAGACTCTGTTGGAGTGGTAATAGTGCTACTGTATAATCCATCTATAGGGATGACAGAGGCAGCATCTATAGGGGCGGCGATAGTGGCATCGGTATTGAAGGCAGTGGTAGTATCGGTAGGAGTGACCATACTGGCATCTATGCTGTGTATAGGAGTGGTCATAGTGGTATCTGTAGAGATGGCAAGTATAGCATTTGTTGGAGTGGCGATGACGGTATCAGTTGGAGACGTGATGGTTGTTGTTAAGGCTGTAGTAACGATGGTAGAAAGCACAGATGAACCATCACCTTCAGATGAACCATAGTTTACGGAGGCAGAAGTTCTGGAAGCTGAGGAAGTGTCAGCATAAGAGAGATGAGTGTTAACTGAGTCTAGAGATCCTGGTGACATGTTGTCCAGCACCGCCTCAGCCTCCACTTGACTGACAGGAGGTGGAGGTGCCGGGGCAGGTCTCTTGTGGGATTCCACACTCTGTAAGAGGAAGCTCGCTTTAATAGTGTGAAGGAGAGGCAGAGAGATATTGTGTTTCATTTTAGCACAATTCAAAACCAATCGAAATAAGGCTCTTGAGTCAGCCCTAACATAGGGGTGTTGCTGAATTACTCAGTTGGGTTTAAACCTTTTTTTGTGTGAATACAGTAATAATAATATAGGGCATAGAAAATCAAGTTAACTTGTATATTAGAAGTCAGGTCACCCTAATGCATAGACTGTCAAGGCAACTGTCAAATCTATCTAGAGTGCGGAACATTATAAACTGAAGCTCACTGCTGCAAGACGGGCGTCAACCTGCTGTTGCTGCTGCTGTTCCCCACTGCCGTCTGTCCCGGAGCAGCGGGTGTAAGCCTCTGGGCAGAAGCCAACATGATAGAGGTGCTGGAAGTTGGTGGGGTGGCCGATCATGTCTTTCCTGAGTGGAAACGTTTCGCCATAATAAAGATACCCAAGTGTTGTACATGTGTCTTAATTTATCAGCTTGTCAGTTCTCTGAACCAGTCATCTACACCTCCTACCAAATTGTCTTCCAGCCTTCATTGCTGTTCCTGACCCAAGTGTAACTTTACAATGGTCCAGGATGGACTAAAACGTCGTCACAGATTCCTCTAAGTGCGAGATTTTGGTGAACGATGGATTATGGTTTCCCTCGCACATTTGAATTCATTTACATTAAACGTGTTTACTATCAAATAACTATACTGGGCTGTTTAAAACCTACAATAATCTGTTCATTAACAATTATTACACACGAGTTCAACATCTGGGTATCTTTATTTGTAGACGTTTTGCCATCCAGTGGCTTTATTAGTACAAGGACATAAAGTGAAGACTGCAGAACTATATACAAAAGATGGGGTGATCAGCCTTAGAGATGAAGAGCACCGTAGTCTCTTCAAGACTACGATAATCTTCACCATCTCCAAGACTGATGGCAAAACGTCTACAAGTAAAGATGCCCAGATGTTGCACTCGTGTCTAATTGTTTATCTTGATATTTTATACCATTCATGTACAATTCTAAACTTTTATGATAACGAAGAGGTACCTACGTTAGTCTCTTCGAAGTGCGCTTCCTGTCCAGTGTTGCGCTCTTCTCCGCGGACTGTGACGGTGGGAAAGGAAAACGCAGTTGTGGTCCCTCCTGTGTGGGTGATTGTAGCTGTAGCGGCGATTGTATCGACTTAAGTGGCAGTGACTGTAGTGGCAAATTTGGGGGTGATTTTTTTGACAGTTGTGGTGATTGTGGTGGCAACTGTGGCGAGGAATGTGGTAGGGGCTGTGGCGGTGATTTTGGTGGCGGTTGTGAAGGTAATTGTGGTGGGGAATGTGGCAGGGATTGTGGTGGGGGTTGTGGTGGTGATTGTGCCGGTGGTTGCCGCGGTGCTCTTTGAGGTGATTGTAGTGGAGAATGTGGCAGGGATTGTGGTGGTGGTGGTGGTGACTGTCGTGGTGCTTTAAGGGGAAGTGTAGAGGGAGATTGCGGCGGTGGTTGGGCTGGCTTTTGTGTTTCTGACTGTGTTTCTTTCCGTGGCGCTTTCTGTTTCTTGCGCTGACGTGGATATGGCTGCTGTTCATTACCTGCTGCTGCTGCTGCTGCACCTTGGGGGTCCTCCTCGCTTGCCTGTTTCTGCTGCAGAGTGGTTGCTGTCGGCTCCTTCGGTGACGGTGGTGGGCGTCCTGACAACCAATACACGAGAATACAATATTTTGATGTACTAAGATATTAGGTTATGAAAGAGAAATGGTTCAGAGAACCGGCAAGTTGATAAATTAGACACATGATCAACATTTGGTAAAGATACCCAAGTGTTGCACATATGTCTAATTTATGGTATTAGGTCATGTTAGAGTTGCTCAGCATCTTCAGGACACACATTGGTTTTGACACAGACAACACCGATTTACACGATCTCTCTGAATATACAGAAGATATTACGAAGTCTCGTGGTACATCGGTAGATCAGTCCCTTGATATCTTCACAAAACATGCGCCGTCCCGTGACCTTACTCTTAGAATATTCAGAAATTCACCAACAAACTCATAATAATAACTATGATCCTACATGTCATATGCAAGCAAGAATGAAGTGAGAAATTACTCTTATACAAACAAACCACAGGTTTTCTATGTGATTTGTCACTTTTCAACAGTGTTATGACACTTTAATCCCAGCAAGGAAGTGACGAGCGAGTAGATAAAGATATATATATATATATATTATATATATATATATATATATATATATATATTATATATATATATATATTATATATATATATAGGTAGTAGGTTGGTAGACAGCAACCACCCAGGGAAGTACTACCGTCTGCCAGATGACTGTGAAACAAAAACCTGTAACTGTTTTGCATGATGGTAGGATTGCTGGTTTCTTTTTCTGTCTCATAAACACGCTAGATAACAGGGATATCTTGCTACTCCTACTTACACTTTGGTCACACTTCACAGACACGCACATGCATATATATATATATACATACATCTAGGTTTTTCTCCTTTTTCTAAATAGCTCTTGTTCTTTTTTATTTCTTCTATTGTCCATGGGGAAGTGGAAAAGAATCTTTCCTCCGTAAGCCATGCGTGTCGTATGAGGCGACTAAAATGCCGGGAGCAATGGGCTAGTAACCCCTTCTCTGTATACATTTACTAAAAAAGAGAAGAAGAAAAACTTTATAAAACTGGGATGCTTTAAATGTGCGTGGGATGTAGTGCGGATGACAAGAAACAGATGATTGTGATGTTATGAATGAAAAGAAGTTGGATGTCCTGGCTCTAAGCGAAACAAAGCTGAAGGGGGTAGGAGAGTTTCAGTGGGGGGAAATAAATGGGATTAAATCTGGAGTATCTGAGAGAGTTAGAGCAAAGGAAGGGGTAGCAGTAATGTTAAATGATCAGTTATGGAAGGAGAAAAGAGAATATGAATGTGTAAATTCAAGAATTATGTGGATTAAAGTAAAGGTTGGATGCGAGAAGTGGGTCATAATAAGCGTGTATGCACCTGGAGAAGAGAGGAATGCAGGGGAAAGAGAGAGAGATTTTGGGAGATGTTAAGTGAATGTATAGGAGCCTTTGAACCAAGTGAGAGAGATAATTGTGGTAGGGGACTTGAATGCTAAAGTAGGAGAAACTTTTAGAGAGGGTGTGGTAGGTAAGTTTGGGGTGCCAGGTGTAAATGATAATGGGAGCCCTTTGATTGAACTTTGTATAGAAAGGGGTTTAGTTATAGGTAATACATATTTTAAGAAAAAGAGGATAAATAAGTATACACGATATGATGTAGGGCGAAATGACAGTAGTTTGTTGGATTATGTATTGGTAGATAAAAGACTGTTGAGTAGACTTCAGGATGTACATGTTTATAGAGGGGCCACAGATATATCAGATCACTTTCTAGTTGTAGCTACACTGAGAGTAAAAGGTAGATGGGATACAAGGAGAATAGAAGCATCAGGGAAGAGAGAGGTGAAGGTTTATAAACTAAAAGAGGAGGCAGTTAGGGTAAGATATAAACAGCTATTGGAGGATAGATGGGCTAATGAGAGCATAGGCAATGGGGTCGAAGAGGTATGGGGTAGGTTTAAAAATGTAGTGTTAGAGTGTTCAGCAGAAGTTTGTTGGGTTACAGGAAAGTGGGTGCAGGAGGGAAGAGGAGCGATTGGTGGAATGATGATGTAAAGAGAGTAGTAAGGGAGAAAAAGTTAGCATATGAGAAGTTTTTACAAAGTAGAAGTGATGCAAGGAGGGAAGAGTATATGGAGAAAAAAGAGAGAGGTTAAGAGAGTGGTGAAGCAATGTAAAAAGAGAGCAAATGAGAGAGTGGGTGAGAGATGTTATCAACAAATTTTGTTGAAAATAAGAAAAAGTTTTGGAGTGAGATTAACAAGTTAAGAAAGCCTAGAGAACAAATGGATTTGTCAGTTTAAAAATAGGAGAGGAGAGTTATTAAATGGAGAGTTAGAGGTATTGGGAAGATGGAGGGAATATTTTGAGGAATTGTTAAATGTTGATGAAGATAGGGAAGCTGTGATTTCGTGTATAGGGCAAGGAGGAATAACATCTTGTAGGAGTGAGGAAGAGCCAGTTGTGAGTGTGGGGGAAGTTCGTGAGGCAGTAGGTAAAATGAAAGGGGGTAAGGCAGCGGGATTGATGGGATAAAGATAGAAATGTTAAAAGCAGGTGGGGATATAGTTTTGGAGTGGTTGGTGCAATTATTTAATAAATGTATGGAAGAGGGTAAGGTACCTAGGGATGGCAGAGAGCATGCATAGTTCCTTTGTATAAAGGCAAAGGGATAAAAGAGAGTGCAAAAATTATAGGGGGATAAGTCTGTTGAGTGTACCTGGCAAAGTGTATGGTAGAGTTATAATTGAAAGAATTAAGAGTAAGACGGAGAATAGGATAGCAGATGAACAAGGAGGCTTTAGGAAAGGTAGGGGGTGTGTGGACCAGGTGTTTACAGTGAAACATATAAGTGAACAGTATTTAGATAAGGCTCTAAAGAGGTCTTTGTGGCATTTATGGATTTGGAAAAGGCGTATGACAGGGTGGATAGGGGGGCAATGTGGCAGATGTTGCAAGTGTATGGTTTAGGAGGTAGGTTACTGAAAGCAGTGAAGAGTTTTTACGAGGATAGTGAGGCTCAAGTTAGAGTATGTAGGAAAGAGGGAAATTTTTTCCCAGTAAAAGTAGGCCTTAGACAAGGTGTGTGATGTCACCGTGGTTGTTTAATATATTTATAGATGGGGTTGTAAGAGAAGTAAATGCGAGGGTCTTGGCAAGAGGCGTGGAGTTAAAAGATAAAGAATCACACACAAAGTGGGAGTTGTCACAGCTGCTCTTTGCTGATGACACTGTGCTCTTGGGAGATTCTGAAGAGAAGTTGCAGAGATTGGTGGATGAATTTGGTAGGGTGTGCAAAAGAAGAAAAATTAAAGGTGAATAAAGGAAAGAGTAAGGTTATGAGGATAACAAAAAGATTAGGTGATGAAAGATTGAATATCAGATTGGAGGGAGAGAGTATGGAGGAGGTGAACGTATTCAGATATTTGGGAGTGGACGTGTCAGCGGATGGGTCTATGAAAGATGAGGTGAATCATAGAATTAATGAGGGAAAAAAGAGTGAGTGGTGCACTTAGGAGTCTGTGGAGACAAAGAACTTTGTCCTTGGAGGCAAAGAGGGGAATGTATGAGAGTATAGTTTTACCAACGCTCTTATATGGGTGTGAAGCGTGGGTGATGAATGTTGCAGCGAGGAGAAGGCTGGAGGCAGTGGAGATGTCATGTCTGAGGGCAATGTGTGGTGTGAATATAATGCAGAGAATTCGTAGTTTGGAAGTTAGGAGGAGGTGCGGGATTACCAAAACTGTTGTCCAGAGGGCTGAGGAAGGGTTGTTGAGGTGGTTCGGACATGTAGAGAGAATGGAGCGAAACATAATGACTTCAAGAGTGTATCAGTCTGTAGTGGAAGGAAGGCGCGGTAGGGGTCGGCCTAGGAAAGGTTGGAGGGAGGGGGTAAAGGAGGTTTTTGTGTGCGAGGGGCTTGGACTTCCAGCAGGCATGCATGAGCGTGTTTGATAGGAGTGAATGGAGACAAATGGTTTTTAATACTTGACGTGCTGTTGGAGTGTGAGCAAAGTAACATTTATGAAGGGATTCAGGGAAACCGGCAGGCCGGACTTGAGTCCTGGAGATGGGAAGTACAGTGCCTGCACTCTGAAGGAGGGGTGTTAATGTTGCAGTTTAAAAACTGTAGTGTAAAGCACCCTTCTGGCAAGACAGTGATGGAGTGAATGATGGTGAAAGTTTTTCTTTTTCGGGCCACCCTGCCTTGGTGGGAATCGGCCAGTGTGATAATAAATATATATATATATATATATATATATATATATATATATATATATATATATATATATATATATATATATATATATATATATATATATATATATGTATTTAGATTTATTGAAGCACCAGGGATCCTACCGTCAGGTTTGCGAGGTGCACCACCGACCACCACCAAGGCTGCCTCAGCGAAGCACTTCGCGTCTGCCTCGCTGGCGAACTTCAGCCCCAGCGTCCTCTCCTAGGAAGAAAAACCAGGCATCAACACGCGCACCTTAGCCAGAAAGTGACTGCAGTAACCCCAGACAAACCAGCAGTTACCACAGCATATACTACATTCCCGGTGAATAATCGGTATGATTAATTTTCATTTTAAGGTAGTATAGCGATAAAACATTATTATCCAAAATATTAGTATAGTTATCTTACTGTACGGAGTTACTGACATGACTAAAATAGCAGACCAAACTCTCACCCACTGTTAATTACAATATCACAACATAAGAAATAAAAGTACATGGAGCAGCCATGCAAAATCCACATGGACCTCACACTTTTTGTGAGTATAATAGAAATGAAAGTACATAAAAATTGTTCGTTTTTTTTTTTTTAATTTAAACACGAGGACCTTAGAATTAAGTGTTCGGTATTAAGTGATAGTTTAACATCAGTCAAGGAGGTTCCGGGACTGACCTGTGCTGGAAGACTGACCTGTACTGACAGCTGGTGGAAAAGCACTGAAGAGCAGTTGTATGAAGCACCTTTCCCTAGTTGCACTTCCTCCACTCTTCTCCACTCCACTAAGTCGTACACCTGAAACAACCTGTTGTCAAGCCACCTCGTTTCACATCCAAAGTTTTTTTTTTTTTTTTTTACTTATCTTTTGTTTTAAGTCTGTTCGTTGTATCCTTAACATCTGTTCGAAGATAAACATCCTTTCTCTATAAATATTGCTTGATAGTCCTATTTTTTTTAAATTTTGTTACTAGATAGTGTACACAGGTATAACTTAGAGAACAATATGGGTGGAGATGTATATAGGTTAGCAGTGGTATTCCAGCTGTGAAGAAGTAACCTCTTGTGTCCCAACACTGTCTTCAATGTGTGGTGAATGGCAAGTAACTAACGAACTAGTAATGTTAAAACACATGTAGCTTAGTTGCTCCTTTCATTAGACGGCTTTACACCTTAATGCTCTATCAAGACTTCATAAAATCATGTAGGGCGACATGTTCTCTTATGCACGTTCTCCCAGGCTTCCTGTGCTAGGCTCTTTATGACCTGGTGATGCTAATGACAGAACTTCTGTAACCTTGATGCAGTATTTAAGATTATCTTGAGGCATTGAGCAGGTCAGCATGTGACCCAGACTTAGTAAGTCTGCCCTGACTGGTACAGTGAGTCACTGACCTGGAAGAAGCCACTGACCTGCAGGAAGTAGGCTTTGCGGATGTAGTCTTTGGTGAGGGTGACCACCCCTGTGAAGGGGGGGTTCCAAGGGGATAAGGCTGGGGTATCCGCCCCCACCACACACACCACCCCAGTGCTCATAGCCTGGTAAACACAATCACACAAATAAATACAAGAGAATCAACGGTAATATTAAATATATGTGCGACCTATGGCTCAATGATAGTTTTCGGCTCACAACAGAAAAAAAACGGGTTTGATTCCCAGGCTGGGCGAGACGTTTCTCCTCCCACCTATCGCCAATGTTCATCCAGTAATGAATATGTACCTAAGACTTACAGCTGACTAAATATTTGAAATATGCACAAATGTAGAATAAAGCTTTTATTGAATCTTTTGTCCTATACCAATCTTTTTCGGATTAATATAAATTGATACATAACAAGCAGATTTATATACATAAAAGAGACACTTATGCTTATACTCTATTGTGGAAACGTTTCGTTTCTTAAAATCCTAGTACCCCAGTCCCATCCTCAGCACACCTCTGACTTCCTTCACTATGAACATAATGTCCATCATCCTAAATCGACTTACAAAAGCCTAGTGTATAGGCGAAACTGTGTAGTCTCGCTGCTGCAACTAGGTTTGTGTGTGTTAGCAGAGTGAGTGTGTCGAGGGCAGAAAATAAGGCAGTTTAGCCTAGACCACCTCACCGCTCTTAGCACTTGAATTAAAACCTAGTAAAAAGAAATACGTCAGTCTAAAAATCCCTGGGTCGGTCTGTGAAGATGGGGGGGGGGGGGGAGAGCTGTAGTTAAAAAGTCTAACTGCCATTATCAAAATACCTCATTCTGTTACTTGTACTTTAATATCTTCTTTATGCACCTCAGACCCATCCTGTGGGTGGTAGTCAAAAGATTCCAGAGGTACATAATGGGTCCAGGGTCTGGACCCCAAAGTTTTGATAACTAAACAAGCTACTGTGGTAATAAGCTATTTACATCTTTTGGTTACATTCGTACTGAGTTATTTATACAGACATTAATTAGGTCACACCCAAAAATTACAACGTACTTTGTGCATCCGTATTTCTTATTTTTGAGCAGTAGCACAAGGCTACACAAATAGTTATAAATTCATGTATAACATAACTGACCCAATGCTTACATTATAATCTAGTATAGTATTTTATCTAGTGATATAAAAGTTAAACACTCGAAATTTCACGTATCTTATCATTGACAATGACGTTATGAAGCATTTCCTGCTGGGTTTATTGGAACTTAACTCTAGAATAAACTTAAGAACACGCCAGATTTAATGTTCTGCTCTCTCTCTCTCTCTCTCTCTCTCTCTCTCTCTCTCTCTCTCTCTCTCTCTCTCTCTCTCTCTCTCTCTCTCTCTCTCTCTCTCTCTCACACACACACACACACACACACACACACATGCACTGTGACTCCACTGAAGACTCCATGACTCCGTCACAGTGAGACGAGTGAGCTTACCTGAGTTTTAGGTCCCAAGAGGGTGAAGATCCTGTGGTTAGCGTCTGGGCTGAGTACAGAGGAGGACTGATGCTTCCCTGGGGCGCTCATCCCGCTGTTGGAGGTCAAAGCGGGAAGAGAAGACCCTTCGACAAGTGACCAGCCTCAAGAATGCCCTCAAAGGGGACCTCTCAAGGGGAAAGGTGGAGTAGCAAAGGGGTTTCAAGAATCAGCTTGAGGGTTCCAGTGGGAATTTTGAGAGCTTGTTATGAATGTTATTCCTTATAGGGAAGGGGATTCTTAGGAAACTAGTTTAAAGGCCTTCAAAGGGGATATGGCTTCATAAGAGAGGCTTAGCTGAAGGGCTCTATAGGGGGTTCCCTAGCATATCTTCCTCCAAAGATGCAGGTGAACATCAACAAAACTGCTTCAAAACTTGTAAGATGGTTCTCCTGCTAAGGGTTTTTCCTAGTGACGTAGTCACCACCACCTCAGCAGACACAAGAGCACCTACAGAAACACGTAAGTTAGTCAAGTGTAAAGTTTCGATGACGAAAAATGGTTAAACATAGATCAAAGTAATTTATAATCTTAGAGATTGTTTTCATTATTTAGATAGTAGTAAATATGATTGTGATTGAGATGTGAGTGATGATTAACAAAGACGTTAAATTATACATCAACGTACGAACTTAAGATAGAGGGTCATTATGGTACCTTTATGTTAGAATACTTATTACTAAGTACGCAACAGCCTCATATTTTTCATGAGACCTCCTTTGTATTATGCTCTGCAATTCTGGTCACTTACCATAGAATGGTCATAAGTTATCTTGAAAAATATGAAAAAAAGACAAAACTACTCCTTAGCACAAAGTCGTAATCTGAGTTGTGACTTTGATGTTATTCTGACCTTTTTAGGAGAACTTACAACCAAAGGAAGACTAAGTTGATCATTAATGTATTGGATATCATTACTGTATCATGTTTATGGTTTTATAATATAATTTTTTTTTATTAACACACCGACCGTCTCCCACCTACGCCGGGTGACCCGAAAAAGAAGTAACACTTTCATCATACTTATCTCCAGCCGTCCTTCAGAGTGCAGGCACTGTACTTCTCACCTCCAGGACTCAAGTCCGGCTAGCCGGTTTCCCTGACTCCTTTCATAAATGTTACTTTGCTCACACTCCAACAGCACGTCAAATCATAAAAACCATTTGCCTCAACTCCTATCTTAACACGCTCACGCACGCTTGCTGGATGTCTAAGCCCCTGGCACACTAAACCTCCTTTACCCCCTTCCCTCCCTTGTTATAATCACTAAAGGGTCACTGTCTTTCTAAGATGGTCATAATTCCCCAACCACCCGTGCTCTACTCTAGGCTCTAATTTGACTCTCTCCCAGTTTCATAACATGCCCCTTGTCTGATGAATTGTATAAACTGTGTATTAATCTTCCTGAGTATCATATCTAAGTCTTCTTGCAGTATTTTACCTCCAAATATTAACATTATAAGAAAATAAGATAAGATATTGAGGTGGACTGTCAGTCACATGATGTCAGTTGCATGATGTCAGTCGCATGATGTAACAGTGTTACCAGTAGGCAACACTGTTACATCATCAGGACTACACACTAATCTGTTCCATGACTCACAGTCGTATTACATGATTGCAAATAAACCACTGTACGGGTGGGATTGAACTCACGGCAAGTCAGTCGTAACTCTAGGCCAGCGTATCGTGCTTTAATCCATTCCATTCAAGGCGCGTCGCCCTACTGAAGTTTACCGACTCAGGCTGACAGATTTCATGAATATGTATGAAACTCATCCTGTATGACAGAGTATGATAAGAAAATAACTAACTGCTGTTCCCACTGACAGCTCGCTGTTAATATACTCATTATTTACATGCAAAAAAAAAAAAAAAAACTTGACCCTGAGAGAAAGGTTCGAGACAAAGTTCTGAGAGTCCGAGATTACCTCATCAGCTAACTTAATATGTACGGTAAATGATGGTCGTCACTGGGACTCCTCCTAAATGCTCAAGATGTATACCTGGGGTATACCTGGAGAAGGTTTCGGGAGTCAACGCCCCCGCGGTCCGGTCTGAGACCAGGCTTCGTATACAGACAAAAAGAAGACAGACGAGAGGCATTAGGATAGATGGCTATCCACTACTAATGTAAAGACATTCTCTGATGTGATCAGGTGTTTGTCACTGTCCCTGGTCCCGGGACACGCCTTAGCTATTTTGTAGAGACAAGAGGTATTGTAATTCAGCATTGCAAGGTCATGGACATGTGTGACTAACCTTTATCCAGAGTGGCTTCCTTCCCACGTGCTTTATAACACATCAGACACCAATTGTGACTTGGTATTGGTTCAAGACTAACCGGAAGTTCGTCTGAAATAATAATTCCGAGTGGTATTTAGAAGCGAAATACAGTGTTATCAGTTTATTTTTTTAATGGGGCGGATCCCTGGCTCGGGTACTCCGCCTTCTGCTTAACTGCTGAGCAGGTCATTATATGAGACTGACTTACGTCAGTAGAAATTTTCCCTGGCGAAGAAAACGCGATCACCAGGAGAGTAAAGATACAGGGAATTCCCACCTGTTTGAGGCTTCTAACACTTCTCTAGCGCACTACTTTTTCTGTTTACCAATACGTCTTGCTGTTTCCCAAGCCAGGAGGACAGGCAGCACTGCCTGGGTTACAGAACTATCCACCTCCAGGTGATGTCAGTCTGGGTTTTATTGTTTTTCCACGTTTTTCATGATAATTCATACAGTGAGATAAGTGTGTGATACAGCTGGGTATCAATCTGATAACTTGGGGTTACCATGAAACCTGTCTGTAGCTGAGGTATATGTAGATCATAATGTTTAATTTGGGGACACAACGTTATCTGTCATCACCGGATAACTCTCATATGTACTCTGTCCACCAGCTCTAATTTCACACTTACAATAACATAAAGAATAATGGATGCTGCATTAATCTATGCTACAGTATGTATATCTAGTTATTATCACTCGTGTGTTCTAACCTGTTTGATACCTCCCAGTGTATTTACGTCAGTGTTATAGGGCGACTTGTTCCACATATCTAATTATATTTACCCACCACCTGGGTTGATGGAGTTTAAACAACCCGGGTCAGTATTATTTAGTCTAAGAGGATGAACATCAAAATGGTATACAATACCGACAGGTTGTTAGGTAAGACACATATGCAACAGTTAGACAACTTTATTCCGAAACGTTTCGCCTACACAGTAGGCTTCTTCAGTCGAATACAGAAAGTAGGCAGGAACAGTAGAGATGTGAAGACGATGTAATCAGTCCATCACCCTTGAAGTCGTAGAATTTGAGGTTGTCAGTCCCTCAGCCTGGAGCAGTTCAGTTCCATAGTCAGGAACTATCTGAAGATCAAGCGACAGTGCAGAGACTTAAATACTGTCGGAAGGAGAGGTGCAGGGTGATGGACTGATTACATCGTCTTCACATCTCTACTGTTCCTGCCTACTTTCTGTATTCGACTGAAGAAGCCTACTGTGTAGGCCAAACGTTTCGGAATAAAGTTGTCTAACTGTTGCATATGTGTCTTACCTAACAGTCTAAGAGGATCCACCTCTGCTACACAACTCAAAGTTTTTTCATTTCATTTAAAATATTACAATTTTTGCTAATTTTCTTCTGTAAATTGCAGTTTAGAGAGGAAGTTTTATATGAAGTTATCATCGGTTAAGTTAAATACATAACAGAAGCTGTGATAAACAGTGATATTTATTTCATGATCAGACTGCGATGCCCACAACGTGTGGCTGCTGCTCTGACCTATATGAAATTTTGCAAGGTTAGGACGATAACTGTTTATCTAACATAGCCATTACAAGTGGAAGTTAGCTGGAGAGTAGCAGAGCCATCCATCCCCTTTCCTCTAACACTCTTTGTCTTATCTAACTTTCCAGTCCCACTTATCTAGCACATTTCCTGTACTATTTCGTGTACTCCAGCATTTGAGTGCCACTTATCTAACGCACGTCCAGTCCTACTCCTTCAATATACTCCAGTACCACTGTTGTAACAGTCTTCTAGTCTCACTTTTCTAACATACTTCCAACTAACTGACTAGCATGCATAGTATCCAGAGAAACATTGCTATGAATATGTGTTAGAAACTCCACCACTGCTGGAAAATATGTTGTGGACAAAATGCCACTGTGTAAGAGGGCTCCATTCCTGTTGGAATTATTCTAAGTGCGAGTCGAAATATCTTCGTGCACTGTGTGTGTGTTGTGTGTGTGTGTGTGTGTGTGTGTGTGTGTGTGTGTGTGTGTGTGTGTGTGTGTGTATGTGTTATGTGTGTGGTGTGTGTGTTTGTTGTGTGTGTGATTGTGTGTTATTGTGTGGTATGAGTGTGTGTGTGTGTGTGTGTGTGTGTAGTGTGTGTGTGGGTGTGTGTGTGTATGAGGTGTGTGTGTGTGTGTTGTGTACTGTGTGTGTGTGTGTGTGTGTGTGCGTGTGTTGGTGTATGTGTTTGTGAGTGTGTGTGTGTGTGTGGTGTGTGTGTGTGTGGTGTGTGGAGTAATGTGTGTGTGTTAGTTACCATTTTTGTCCTAGGCACATGTCGATTTGACACTAGCCTTTTTGTTGTGTGTAGGTGTGTGTGTATTTGTGCGTGTTGTGTGTGTGTGTATGTGTGTGTGTATGTGTGTGTGTGTGTGTGTGTATGTGTGTGTATTGTGAGTTAGTGTGTTGGTGTGTGTGTATGTGTGTGTATGTTGTGTGTTGTGTGTGTGAGTGTGTGTTATGTTGTGTGTGTGTGTGTGTGTTTATGTGTGTAATGTGTGTGTGTGTGTATGTGTGTTTTGTGTGTGTGTATGTGTGTGTGTGTGTGTGTATGTGTGTGTGTGAGTGGTGTGTATGTGTGTGATGTGTGTGTGTGTGTTGTGTGTGTATTGTGTGTGTGTGTGTGTGTGTATGTGTGTGTGTGTGGTGTGTGTTGTGTGTGTGTGTATGTGTGTGTTGTGTGTGTATGTGTGGGTGTGTGTTGTGTGTGTATGTGTGTGAATGTGTGTGTGTGTGTGGTGTGTGTGTGTGTGTGGTGTGGGTGTGTGTGAGATGTAGAGTGTGTGTATGTGTGTGTGTGTGTGTGTGTGTGTTTTGTGTGTGTTGTGGTGTGGGTGTATGTTGGTGTGGTGTGTGTGTGTGTGTGGTGTTTGTGTAAGTGTGTGTTGTGTGTGTGAGTGTGTGTGGTGTGTGTGGTGTGTGTGTGTGTGTGTGTGTGTTAGTGTGTGTTAGTGTTGTGTGTGTGGTATGAGTGGATGTGTGTGTGTGTTGTGTGTGTACTCACCTATTTGAACTCACCTATTTGTGGTTGCAGGGTTCGAGTCCTACTCCTGGCCCCGCCTCTTCACCGGTGCTACTAGACCCTCTCTCTCCCCGCTCACATGAAGACTTTAACTAACCTCGTCTTAAAACTGTGTATGGTTCCTGCCCCACTACGTCATTTTCTAGGCTATTCCACTGCTTACAACTCTATGACTGAAGAAATACTTCCGACTATCTCTCTGACTCAATTTGTGTCCTTCAACTTCCAATTGTGCCTCGATTGTTTTCTGTGTCCACCTCCCTGTAACATCCTGTCCTTTGTCCACCTGTGTCAATTCCACGCAGTATTTACAATATGACGTTATCATGCCTCCCCGACCCTTACCTGTCCTCCAGTGTCGAGGCCGATTTCCGCTTAGACTTTCTTCATAGGACAATCCCTCATAGCTCTTGAACTAACCTTGTTGCAAACCTTTGTACTTTCTCTGTTTCTTGACTTGCATTATCAAGTGCTGGGTTCCAAACAGGTGGCAGGCATACCCCGTAGGCCTGACATACACGGTGTACAGTGTCTTGAATGATTCCTTTCTAAGGCGTCGGAATGGCTGTTCTCAGTGTTGCCAGGCGCCCATATGATGCAGCAGTTATCTGAATTGATTGTGCTTCCGGAACATGCCTCATGTGTTATTAAAAACCCTCACCCGCACAACAAGATCTTCTCCCTTGAGTGAGGCTTTGCGCGCAGACAGTCTTTGAGCGCCACACTAGCCAATACTCTGTCTGTGGTTCTTCTCGTGCCCCTTCCCTATCATTCAGACTATTTGCATTTGCAGGATTTAAATTCAGAAGCCATTTTGCTGGACCTAAGGTGTCGCAGATCTTGTCCAGGACTCTTTGGAATGTCCTGCAGTCCTCATCAGATTTAATCTCCTCATTAACTTCAACAAACATCTGCAAACAGGGCCACTTCGATTCTAACCCTTCCGTCCTGTCGTTCACATATACCAAAATAGCACTGTCCTAGGACCGAACCCCTGGGGACCCAGCCGCACGTCACAGTGCCCACTGTGATACTCAAAACGGTACCCCGCGCCTATGACTCATGGTTGCCGTCCCTGTTCAAGGTAATCTCTGATCCATTGCATGCCCTTCCTGTTATATTCCCTGATGCTCCTACTCTGCACTAATCTCTTGTGAGGAACTGTGGTCAAAGCCTTCTTTGCAGTCCCAAGAAGAATGCAATCACCCACCCCTCTCTCTCTGTCTTACTTATGTTATTTTATCATAAAACTCCGAAGGATTTGTGACACAGGATTTGCCTTCCGTGAATCCGTGCCTGTTGCATTTATACCCTGTTCCGTTCCATGTGCTCCACCACTCTCCTCCCTGAAATCTTCTCCATAATTTTGTCATCTATACACGTCAATGACACAGGTCTATAGTTTAGTGCCTCTTTTCTGTCTTCCTTTTTTGAAAATTGATCTACATTTGCTGTCTTCCATACCTCAGGTAGATGCCCATTCCAGGGATGTGTTGAAGATGTGGTAATGGGTATGCACAACATATCTGCTCCCTCTCTAAGGACCCATGAGAGATGTTGTCCAGTCCCTCCATTGCTTTGAGGTATCGATGTCCCCTTAGGCGAGTTTCTTCACCTCCTCCTCATCTGTATGTAAGTCGTCCAACACTTGTTGGTGTATTCCTTGGTGTGTCCCCATCTGTCTGTCCCCCCAGAGTCCCTTCCTGTCTCTACTGTAAATACTTCCTTAAATCTCGTGTTGAGCTCCTCACATACCTCTTGATCGATTCGTGTGATTTCTCCACCATCTCATACTCTCAGCCTTATCACCTGGTCCTTGACTGTTGTCTTCCACCTTAATGTGCTATACAGCAGTTTCGGGTCAGATTTTGACTTTTCGATGCTAATGTCGGTATTCATACTGTCCGCTGGGCCTCCCCCTTTATCTGCGCATACTCTTCTGGCTCTTCTACTAATCTCCCTTGTTTTCCTGGGTCCTATGCCTCCGTACCTTTTCCATTCATCTGTTGCACTTATTTTTGCCTCCCAA